AGTTGACTGCGCTGTGTGAAGAAGAACTTCCTTTTATTGTTTTAAACCTGCTGCCTATTAATTTCATTTGATGACCCCTAGTTCTTGTATTATGGGAATAAGTAAATAACTTTTCCTTATCTACTTTCTCCACATCACTCATGATTTTATATACCTCTATCATATCCCCCCTTAGTCTCCTCTTTTCCAAGCTGAAAAGTCCTAGCCTCTTTAATCTCTCCTCATATGGGATCCGTTCCAAATCCCTAATCAATTTAGTTGCCCTTCTCTGAACTTTTTCTAGTGCCAGTATATCTTTTTGGAGATGAGACGACCACATCTGTACGCAGTATTCAAAATGTGGGTGTACCATCAATTTGTATAAGGGCAATAATATATTCTCCTTATTCTCTATCCCCTTTTTAATGATTCCTAACATCCTGTTTGCTTTTTTGACCGCCTGTGCACACTGCATGGACGTCTTCAGAGAACTATCCACGATGACTCCAAGATCTTTTTCCTGATTCGTTGTAGCTAAATTAGCCCCCATCATATTGTATGTATAGTTGGGGTTATTTTTTCCAATGTGCATTACTTTACATTTATCCACATTAAATTTCATTTGCCATTTTGTTGCCCAATCATTTAGTTTTGTGAGATCTTTTTGAAGTTCTTCACAGTCTGCTTTGGTCTTAACTATCTTGAGCAGCTTAGTATCATCTGCAAACTTTGCCACCTCACTTTTTACCCCTTTCTCCAGCTCATTTATGAATAAGTTGAATAGGATTGGTCCTAGGACCATCCCTTGGGGAACACCACTAGTTACCCCTCTCCATTCTGAGAATTTACCATTAATTCCTACCCTTTGTTCCCTGTCTTTTAACCAGTTCTCAGTCCATGAGAGGACCTTCCCTCTTATCCCATGACAACTTAATTTACATAAGAGCCTTTGGTGAGGGACCTTGTCAAAGGCTTTCTGGAAATCTAAGTACACTATGTCCACTGGATCCCCCTTGTCCACATGTTTGTTGACCTCTAATAGATTAGTAAGACACAATTTCCCTTTACAGAAACCATGTTGACTTTTGCCCAACAATTTTATGTTCTTCTATGTGTCTGACAATTTTATTCTTTACTATTGTTTCGACTAATTTTAGCTATAACATGACCATAGTGTTTGACTATATGATCAGAAATCGCTGAACAATGGAAGGAACCCAACAAAAGTCCAGTTTGGGATTGACCGGGTTGCTTTCAAATGGGACAGTTAATGCTTGCTGTTTCTGAATGAGACACACTCTTTGCATCCTTCCTCTATAACATCAGATCTCCAAATGCTATACTAAAAAAGAACGGATTATACGCTTCCCAAGATGCTACACCACATCTCATGGGATAGAGAGGATTGTAACCAAACCTTGCATTTGAAAGGGATAATTTTTGTTGAGGCAGGTTTGTCTTTCATGGATCATACAGAGATAAAATGAAGCAAAAGATGTATGCATTTGAGAATAACCTGTGTAGAAGGGGATCTGTGCTCTGATGAGGCCAGGCAGCTCCCTTTAACATTATAGTGGGTCCCTCAAGGAGTTCTCTTACTGGTGAATTTTAATAAGGGAAATGGCTATTACATATAGTGTCTAAAGCCCTGATTCAGCAGAGCATTTAAGCACATGTGTAGCTTCAAGCACCTGAGTGCTTGGGTCCATTCTCAGTGTTTTTCTCTTGTGCTCTTTTGACTTGACTTTATTTTGCATTCAAGACAATACTAGTACACCTCTACCCTTATATAATGCGACCCGATAGAACGCGGTAAAGCAGTGCTTTGGGGGGGCGGGGCTGCGCACTCCTGCGGATCAAAGCAAGTTCGATATAATGCGGTTTCACCTATAACGCAGTAAGATTTTTTTGCCTCCCGAGGACAGTGTTATATCAGGGTAGAGGTGTATCAGACAGATGCTATAAAACAACACAAACAGGTCAGTGAGTCCATAATACTTAAATGCTTAAGTACTCTGCTGAATCAGGGTCTAAATGGATTGTTAAGCCCTGTGTGCCAAATTCAGCTCTGGTGTTGAACCGTTGAAGACAACTGGATTCATCCCCATCAGCCCAGTTTCTTTAGGTAACATATTAACCCTGTTTGTCTTTACTCTAATAATATGTGACATGGAAGCTGTTGGGTAGGTTTGGATCACTTTGCTGTTTACCAAGCGTACCTGTTGTATTGGGCCAAGTGACTTTCCAGCACTGTCCTGTGTACAGGTACCTTGCCTTCAAAGCAGTACTGGAACGTTGGCATTGCCACATGATGCTCAAACGCAGCAACTATCAGGGAAAGAGTTATAATAAGTAAATAATAAATTATGAGACACTTAAATAAATACAACTGAGCCTGGTTGTAAAAGCACTGGTTGCATTCCTCAGCCACAAACTAATGTCTGGATTTAACCCAACTTGATTGTAGTGCTGCATGAGTTAAATTAGTAACTTTTCTAAATTGGCAGTATGCAATTTCTAGTGTAAAACATTCAACTGGAATTTTTAAAGGCAGGGAATCTTTCATCTCCCCTTTCCCCAGTCCAGGCTCTCCTTTGGGGATTCATTGTGGTTTTGATCTGCATTGCCTCAAACCATTCAAATAGTTTCAAAGAAGCAAAACTGTTTTCTTTTGTTGTTGCTTTCTCCCCCTCCCCGCCCCCTAATACCCTGGTACCAAGAATGGACGTAGTTTGCAATTCCATTTGATCAAAGCACTCTGCACCAATGTAACTTCCTGATCGTACTGGTAACAGAACTAAATGTTTCCATGTTCTGGTGAGATGGATTGCCAGCTATCGACAGAGTTCTGGCATCTGGTAATAATTATTTACTAATTCCTTTTACCTTTTGATCTGGTTTACAGAATACAGCTGCAGCTATCAAGGCTATAAGGGAGAGTGGAATGAACCTGAACCCGGAAGTAGATGGGATAATAATTCGGGTGCCAGTTCCTAAGTAAGTAATTATAATGACTGTCTGTCTAAATTCATGGTTATGTGAGATGATGTAATGGGCTGCAGTGGATTTCATTTGTGATCCTGGTGCATATACTCTGGAGGATACGAATGCATGGTTACTGTAAGGTCTTGACACAGTCGCTTTCCATATTGCTACATCTGGGGTTTAAAAAAACCCAAGCCTTTAAGAAATATCTGATGGAACCTCTTCCAAGTGTCAAGCCAGAGGTTTCTGCGAATTCTCCAGCATTGCAGTATCCATTCTTTTGATACATGGGGCTCCGCCTTGCTGTTTTCCAGTTCCCCCTGCGCAGAAGGGAGCTAGGCAGTGGGTGGCCGCTGCATTTAGGAAGGCATGAGAGGCAGTGGCCAGGCACCTTAAAGTCTAACTTTTCTAAGAGAGCTGAATTGAGTATCCAGTTCATGGCCTGATTCACCACTGCCTTACTGTAAATAACTGGAGTTACGCCAGAATATAACCACATTGATGCAATGATGAATCAGTAACATGGAGATGAACCATCATCCAGCTGCCGAAGGAGTGGCAGGAGGGAGTGATGGCCAAGGAGGCAGGGAGGGAACTTGTAATTGTCTGCTTCTTTCACTATTTCCATTAAACTGCTATGCAGTATTGTGGTGCAGCTGTTAAACAGCCGTCAAGTTCTACCCCAGAGGCAGCTGCATTACAGTGGTGGCTGAAACAGTTCCTGTATTTATAGCCGTACGAATCCAGAGCAAGTCCATTAACTTCTGGATACAAACCAATGTACTGGAGTGTGAACATAAGAATAGCCATACTGGGTCAGATCAAAGGTCCATCTAGACCAGTATCCTGTCTGCCAACAGTGACCAATGCCAGGTGACCCAGAGGGAATGAACAGAACAGGTAATCATCAAGTGATCCATCCTGTCGCCCATTCCCAGCTTCTGACAAAACATCTGTCATTGTTATGGGCAGATATCCATTGTGTACCTGAGATGAATTAGGGTCTGATCCATCTCCCATTGAAGTCCACAGTCACAGACGAGCTGATGCTGGGAGGGGCGGACATCAGTGTATGTTACGGCCTCAGCCTGTCAGGATGCTCTGAAGATTAGTGATGTATCTCCGTTCTATTGGGGATTTAATTATGCAGATTACATCACAAAAAACCCAACAGGCCAATCAGAGCATGGCTTTATTTTTATTCATTCTGACTTCCATAAAATGCTTCTCCACAGATCTAGATACGTGGTTAGGTCATTAACCTAGTACTTGGGAGACCTGGGTTCAAATTTCTGCTCCGCCACAAACTTCGTGGGACCTTGGGCAAGTCCCTTAGCCTCTCTGTGTCCTCATCTGTACAATGGGGATAACAGCCCTGCCTCACAAGAGTGCAGTAAGGATTATAAATTAAAGATTGTGAGGAACCCCTGTCCTATGGAATGGGGGCCAGATAGGTACGTAAGATAGATATAAACGTTGCAAAAATACAGACAATTGGCATTCCAAGCCCAGTGAATTAGGGCCCACATCTCTGAGAATGGTCTGGAACAACTTGCATAAGGGCCTTTGATGGAATCTTACCGTATATTATGTATATTTCCAAGTAGGTGACTTTGGATAAGAATAGACAAACTAAAGTTTGCTCGTGTTACAGATCTGCTTAAAGAAATTACATTGCGTTTCAAGTATTTCAATCAGAGAAGTCTCTAATTGCTGCTTTGAGGGAAGCCGAATGGAATTTTCATTCCATTTGCTGGTTCTCTTTTTTTCATATGCTCTCTCCCCTTCCCCCTTTCCTCAGGGGTGGCAGGGCAGAAGAGGAGGGCACTATTATCTTCATAATTGCCTAGGATCTTGGGTTGCCACACAGTAATTTGATTGTTAATGGGCACTCAGGTCACCCTTGACTATGAATTACAGGGGAGGAGAAATCCAGAAATCAGTAAATACCTTTAAAAAAAAAAAAAAAAAAAGTAGTTGTCAAACAAGTGTGTATGTTCTGTCGCTTTCTTTTGTGGTGCTGCAGATGAGGACTGCAGTCGTGTTGCCTGCCTACGCATACGGTCAGCACTAGGAAATCTGTCCTGCTTATTTCATTGTCCCCTCTGGGGTATCACTGCTGTCATTCTTAGTTTCATTTTTCCTGGGTGTTTGGCAGGTCAGGGAGTCCCAGCTTAACAGAACACAGTCTCTCTCTCTCTCTCTCTCAGTCTCAGTCTCAGTTCTAACTGAGGACAGATGACCAGCAAGTCGCCACATTAGTTCAGATTCAATGCTGTTTCCCACCTGTTCTCTTAGCAGGTTCAACTAGCTTTTAAAAAGACAGTGTTAACTTGATTAGTTTCAAAACAATTACTTTTTTAAAGAATCCAGTTTTTGATAAAGGTACCTTTTTAAATAGTATGCCCTGGATTTTTTAAAATTCTTTAAGTTTTTATACAAAATTTTCTGTTTCCTGATATTTACAAAGGAAAAACTCACTGACTAGTCAAGAGAAACAGCAGCGAAATTGACTATGCAGAAGTGATGTCAAATGTGCATAGTAAAAAACCCGAGATATTTTCCTTTTATCTTTCTTCAGAAAGAGCTATTTTAGTGTTGTTTGTACCTATAGTAAATACACCACTTTTCACACAGAAATGTGATTGATCATGTTTGACAGTGTCCCTTTAAAGTGATGTTATTGGGCTATGAATCATTTTTAATAAAAATCCAACTACTCTGAAATGTTAGGTGGTGTTGATAACACACCGCAGTAATTTCAGTCCTGATCCAGCAACCAGATACATGTGGGTCAAACTTTGCATCCACATCAATCCAGTTGCAAGATCACGGCCTGCAATTATTATAACAGAGAAAAGTAAATTAGATTGTGGAACTGTTCCATGTATTCTATTTGTTTTGTTTTTGCATTTCTCTCAGCTTAGACAATAAATAGAGACTAGTCAACTTTATTTTTGTCTACTTTCACTTTCATGTCAATTTCCCTTTTAGGGCCTCTGGCACAAGCCTGCTTCAGTGTTTGTGTTGCAGACTCTGCATGGGCAATGTTTATTTGTATTAAAAAAAGTTTCTGTTCAAGTTTAAAAAAAAACATGAGAAAATTTCTATCAGTTTGATTTCTCAGCCAAATCTGCCCTGACATTGTGCCCTTTGTGGTATTGCCTCATGGCTAGGGCCATCTCTTTTTAGATCTATTGTGAGAGACTAGATGTTGTTTACAAATTAGTAATATTTTTACACACACTTGACTGAAAGTCCAGTGAGTCATTTGAAAGTTCAGTGACTCTGCTTTAATTCTTTTCTTTAAGAAGTAGCCACAGTCCCCAGTATGGGGCAGATGGGCTCACGAAATGTCATTTGAAAAAAACAAAATGTTTTGGAACCTTGTACTCCAATTCTTTCATCATAACAAGAGTATGTCATTCTCACCTAGTCCTGGGTAATTCATCTTGCACATTAACTTTCAGCATGTATCTCAAATCATACAAGCAGAGTATCCAGTTGCGCCTGTGTACCTCTGTCTGATCCCTCTCGCTCACAGGAAATACCTAGCATTTATGATACAAAACCATTCTTACCAATGTAAATGTCTTTCAATGGAGATCAGTAGTGGCCCGCGTTGTTTTTCCCTTTGTGTTTGTGCATGTGCCTCACGCTCATAAGAGAGCATCGAAATGCAGCCGCGTTTGGATAACTGGCTACTGACGGAAAGAGACACAGAGGAGACATCACTAACAATCTGAGCCCTGTGCACTTAAAAAAATACTGGGTTTAAATAGCCAGGGTTCGGTCCTGGTTATCTGCTCGCAGCTCCATGTTGGGGGTGATGTGAAGCGGCACCACCCCAGCAGGAGCCTCCTGGAGTTCTAAGGGTGGGGAGTGTCCACACCCCAGCACAGAGCCGGTTCTGTGGGCTGGTGTGAAAGGGAGATGGAGAAAGCGCAGGCACCTTGACTCTTTTCCCCACTTCTGATTAGACACCTCAGGCTTCCCCTGCAGCACTTCGCTTTAAAGAGGAGACAGGGACAACAGTTCCTATGTCCAAAACAAAATGTGCCCAGATCAACGGTGAGGTTAGCAGAGCTGGTGCCAGAATCGCCACGTTCAAGGGGATGGATGGCCTTTAAAACCAGCAGCCTCGCATTGATGGATTCCTTAGCAGGAGCAGCAGCTGCCTGAAAGCAATAGATATTTTTGTAGCATTATTGGTGGTAGGAGCTCAGAATCTACATATAATCTCAGTGGAATGTAAAACCCACAAAGAAAGCTCTATGTCACTATGCATCGATAAACAGAAATGGGCATTAATAAAGACAGACAAGGAGATGTGTGACCTTGTGCCAAGAAGCATAGGAAATCTGGCAGCACTGCATAAACAAACATTTCCTTAAAGGTTCAGCAGCCCTGAGCAGCCGAGTGATACCCTCAGCACGATCCACAAAACATTCACACATGTGGGGAGGTGAGCAGCAAATAGCAAACTGGATCTACCACACGTGGGGAGCTCTAGCCACAGACCAGCACACCCTCTGCCTAGCAGGGAAGTAAGTGAAAAGAGTCATGTAGAGATTTCCAATGCCCAGAGATGCTCCCCTGAAAATGCTGTCTGGGAATCTGACCTCATTTACCCCTATTTCTGAACAGTATCACTTGATAAATTCATGGAGGAGAGGTCCATCAAAGGCTATTAGCCAAGATGGTCAGGGATGCAACCCCAGACTCCGGGTGTCCCTAAGCCTCCAACGGTAAGAAGATGGGACTGGACAACAGAGGATGGATCACTTGTCTTAAGCTCCTGGCATTGGCCACTGTTGGAAGACACAGTCCTGGGCTAGATGGACCATTGATCAGCCCCGTATGGCTGTTCTTATGAACAGACTGTGCTGTTTTGATATGTGGCTGTTTTCACAGGCCACAAGACTTCTGGTTCATAATGTTCAGAAGAGAAGCCCTGAAAGGACTGGTGTTCTGATTCATAGTTTCTCACTCCTAGGTCAATGGCTCAAATGCAGGCTCAGGTCTAAGATGACAGATGTTTGCCCTGTGTGAAATAAACTGGTCACCATCCAGGCATCTCCATCACCAGACTTATGGCCACAGTCACCCTTCCCATGGACACAGCTCAGCAGAGGAGACAAAGGGCTATGGAGACAAAACACCTGCCTCCAGACCACAGCTGCAGCACGTTCACAGAGCAGTGCGGTCATGACGCTAGCACTGCCACTGTCTGCACTGGATCTGGCCTGGACTATGGTCTCTGGGTCTGTCAAATCCTGCACTTTCTACAGACACTAAATTCATTCCTAATAATAATTTAATAATCAGCTCTGGAAAGTCCTTATTCCCTCCTGCCAACCTGGGGTAGAAATAAATGAATGAGCCTGTGATTGGTCAGGGCCTCTCAAACATCTGCCTTGAGCAACTCGGCTGCTGAGCGAAGAAATCAAAGGGAATGTGACTTATCAGACAGGGAGCAAGCTAGGAAAGGGTTCAGAAACTGCCGGGTAATGAAAGACTCTTTGTAATTAATACCCGCAAAGAGGCAGAGCTAACATTGCTGTGGGAACCCTAACTCCCCATTTCCTGATTTCCGTGCAGGAAGAGCCTTGTCTTTAATGTTGCAGTGACCTAGCCTGTTGCAGTCAATTTCTAAGTACTCCTGTGAAATGTTTATTGTGCAATATCTCCCCCTAGCAGACAGGCATTCTCTTGCTAATGATATGTAGTGCTTGCAACAGGCTTTTAATCTTCAAGGCACTTGGAAAACATTAGCTAAATAATTAATCCTCACAATAGGTGCTGTCAGAGTCCCGTTTTCCACACCGGGAGAGTGAGGCATCGAGAGATTAAATGACTTGACCAGGGCCTCTGAGGGTGGCAGTGTCTCTGCAGCTCCAATGTCCCATTCTTATGCTCAGGAACCTAGCTGCTTCTCCTTTCTGATCTAGAAAGTGAAGCTACCGGGGAATCATGGGAGTTTTCCCTGTGTTTGACTGCAGCGCCTGACCCACTGTGAGGAGCGGAGTTTGAAATCTCGGTCTGCTAGAGTTGGATACAAATAAATTGAAATCATTCTTTTAGAAAATGTTGCAGTATTGGTCTCTTCTCAACCAGCATGTTAAATACAGTGGAAATACCAGTCTGGTTCCCGCCTGCTAGTGATGACTGGAAAACGGGTGAATAAAGAGATTCACCCTGTAAGCTGTCTAGCTCCCAGATCTATTTTTCAGACTATTGCAGTTGCAAGGAGAGGAGAGGGGGTTTCCTCCTGCCCCTTCACAGCTTTACAGCAGGATTACACTTTTCAGCTCAGCGTCTCAAGTTTTGAGGTTGATATTCCCTCTTCACTCTTGCAGATGCCTTGGCAGCACAAAAAAGAAAAGCCTAAACATTTCAGCATGGTTTTCAGGCACTGCACAGAAAACCATAAACGTAATAAGATCTGATCCAAATCCCTAAGCTACTGCCATGCCTGTTGCCTTCCACTCCAGCCCTGAGACTTACATGACTTAGTTTGAAAGGTGTCGGTCCCAGACCCAGGAGGAACTGTTTGAAAGAGGCCAGCGTGGACAGGATCAGTGGATTGTACTTCCTCAGCTTGCCGGTTTATCCTGCACACGCATAACATCACAAGGAACAGATCAGGTCCATGCTACCCCTAACGCCCTTTACTTCTCCCTGATTAGGGTAACAAGAGAACACCGTGAAAACCTGGCCAAACTCGCCAAACAGCTTACGAACAAGGCTAAGGACTCCTTGCGAAAGGTCCGGAGTAACGCTGTGAACCACGTGAAGAAGGCCAAGAGCACAGTGTCTGAAGACACCATTAAGCTGGTAGAAAAGCAGGTATTTTTTCTCCCCAGGAGTGCGTGGGGTGTGTTTCCTGACCTCCCTGATGGCCCTGTCCCATGCGAAAGATCCAGCTGTGCCAGACTTTGGTAACAAAACCGCAGATTTCAGGAAACCCTTGTTAGGAGCTGGGTTGGAGGGGAGCCTGGGGCTGGGGTGGGGATGGCCCTTTTTGTGTGTTCTTTTTTTAACAAGTCATAACTGCTGCTCCCTCTGCCTTCTGCGGAGCGATTTTGGATTTGTTCAAACCTGAAACTCAGAGTCAACTTTGGGGCACGAACCCGTGCAAATTGAAGGGGGAGGGGGTAGTAAAGGTCCCCACAAACCTTCAGTAGCCTGACAAGCCTGTTGCAGCAGGATGGCCAGAGTCCAACCCTGCTGCTTGAATCTTCAGGGGCAGTTTTATCATCGTCATTGATGCAATGCCAGAAGTGCACATGGACTTTGCAGAGCGCATCGGGCCAGATCCTCAGTTGGTGGGAGTCGACATTGCTCCATTGACTACAGTGAAATGAACACTAATCAAATGTTAGTAACCTTGAACTCTGCTATGGCTTTGTGGCTAGGTTCACCAAGACACTCAAGCATATGCCTAATTTAAGCATATGGGCAGTCTCACTGAAGTCAGTTACTCATGCTTAAGATTAGGCACATGCCTAAGTACCCTGCTGAATTAAGGCCTCGTTTGTTAGCAGTAAGCACTAGGAATATAGCAGAGAGCACTCCTTTGCATGCTCGCTGCTGGTAGACGTTAACTTTAGTTACGTCTACACTGTGAGCGAGGGGTGTGATTTCCCTGCTAGGGCCAGCGTGAGAATAAACAGCAGTGCCGTCGTGGGACACAGGCCGTGGTGCTGGAGGCACGGCTAAGCCATGGGGAATTGTACGTGACAGAGCTCCACTGTGCTACTTGCATTTGCTCTGCTATCTCTACTCGCACTGGTTCCATGAGAGCTAGTGAGAGCACGTGAATCCCGTCCCTAGCTCCTGGGGTAGACAAAGCCATGGTAGCATTAGCTCTCGCGGTGGAGGGGATGCTTTGGGGTTAAACAGGAATTATCTTTTGAATGTGTCCGTGTGCCCGAAAGCTGGTGCTGTGGACACCTTTGATAAACACTTCCTGGCATAAAAGTTTGTGCAAGCAAAAAGAGGTGGCATGTTATAAACAAACCCCAGTTCTTCCAGAGCAGTCAGGTGGCTTCTTGTATTTGTGGGATAGTGTCCAGGGCCGGCTCCAGGCACCAGCCTGGCAAGCAGGTGCTTGGGGCGGCCGCTCCAGAGAGGGGCGGCACGTCCAGCTATTCGGCGGCAATTCGGCGGACGGTCCTTCACTCCCGCTCGGAGCGAAGGACCTCCCGCCGAATAGCCGCCGGCTTTTTTCTTTTTTTTTTGGCTGCTTGGGGCGGCCAAAACCCTGGAGCCGGCCCTGGTAGTGTCTCAGCTCAGATTTTGCTTGTGCCAGGGATTTTCAACATAAGGCAAGTTCACCTCCCACGTACCTGGGATCCTAAAAAACTGGGGGCCAAATTGATACTAGACCCTTCTGAATAGGCCCTGTAAGATTGGAGCATGCAGACCCTAAATTTGCACATAACTAGCGCTGGTATATGCCCAACAATCATCTCTACCTGTATTGCACATGCAAATTCCCATCGCACACTTACACGTGGCTTTGCACCCAAATAGGTGCATGCACAACTCTGGCCAGCACAATTTAGGAGGTTCCTTTGAAATGTTGGCCTGTCTCCGGTCTTATTACCGTGATCCTGGAGCACCGGGCTGGGCTTTGGGAATAGTGCTGTGTTCCCCGTGACAGAGCGGAGTAAATCTGTCTGGTACTTGATCTGCAACTAAAAACAAAAGCTTCCACTAGCAGACTCTGGCTGCTGCTGCACAGTTCATTACAACAGCAGGAAGACTACGGCGAGTAAGGAGACGAGTCCTTTACCGGCAGTCTGTCCCACCACGTTAGGTCTATTAAATAAGGACTTGGCAGAGCAACTGGTCAGTCTCAGCCAAGAGCTTTTCACTAGGAGCCATTCAGAGACCGGAATGGATTGTACGGAGAGTAGGTTAAATGCTGCGTGGGCGTGGGTGTGGGAGATTCAGCCACTGACGGGATCTGGCTAAGGGGGAACTGGATGCTGATGGAGGAGTCACACAGGTCACTGGACATACCGTCATTTTACAGCTGGGGAAATGGAGGCACAGAGAAGTGACTTGCCCAAGGCTGCAGCAGGAAATAGTGTCAGAGCTAGGATTAGAAATCAGGAGAGCCTATTTCCGAGACACACGTGCTCGGACCATTCCTCGTGCAGCTGTTACTGTGTTGGTGGGAACATGCATCTGGCAGGGGTTTTGACAGCTTGTGAAATGTATTTCCGATCTTCCACACACAGTCAGTTGGCTTCCCGTCTCAGTTACTCCAAGAACAAGAACATTCCACTGACTTCAGATTTACACCGAGAACAGAATTTTGCCTGCGGGGTTACTTTGAGCTTCCTTTGCGTTAGGAATTGCCTGTGTCCCACCTTTACAGGGATCTAACTTGTTATGTTGCTACAGATCCAGCAAATGGCAGACGACACTGCAGCAGAGATGGACAAGCTCCTGGCAGGGAAAACCAAGGAGCTCCTCGGCTGAGTGCAGCTTGGACAGACACACAGTCAGCAGTGACTATGGACTGAGACACCCGCAGACCAAATGTTCCATGCTTGGCCGTAGCAGCTTAGTGTGACTGGCAGGGCGGACTGGGTCCTACCTCACGAGTAGAGTTATGCTGTGATTACTCAGGGAATTGGCCCATGATCAGTGTTGGGGGTGGGGGAATCTAGTCTGTATTTCATTGATTCAAGCAATGACAACTGAATTTGGATAAAATAAGGTTAAGAGGAACTGAGGAATGGCTCTTAGTTGTCAACCTTCACCATGGCAGCAGCCTCTCTCTGCCAATGGCATTAAAGCACTGAGCGGTGGGGTGCTCAGATTAGTGAATGTTTGTCCCCTTTGCAGATCTCTTTCTTACACTTCCTGCCATGAAATTCCCACTTAGGGCCTGTCTACACGAGGGTCAGTTTCTCTGGTGTAACTATATCAGTGTTGCTAACCAGGTATAGACGGGGCCTTCAAGTCAATAGCAGCAAACAGGGCCACCCGGCCATTCTGCAGGTGTCTCCCCCAGGCGGCTTGGCTGAAACTCATGCATTGGACAAGGGCACTGCATAGATTTGTCCCAATGGAACAGGAGTGCTCAAAAAACAGGGCTTTTACTAGCTAGAGTCCAGCCACCCTGAGCAGAAGGTTGGTCTCGCAGGATCCTCCTTTCAGAGAAGGCCCCGTGTACCTCTCAATTCTGAAGGC